CCCCCCCCCTTTTTTTTTTTTTTTTTTTAAATGTGTGCTCTGATCTACATAACTTTATCTGCTTTCAAATACTGTTTTTGTAGTGTCCAGGTAACTTAGCTTTCTGTAATGTTAATCCTGGAACTGAACCAGTTAGATTACATAAGAACTATCTTCTCATCTGTGAATTCCTTCACAGTTTATAATGACCCTTTAGTTTCCTATTGGGATTCAGTCTTCTGTCTGAGTTGTCACTTATTCACAGCTTTCAGGGTGATTTTTGTTACTAGAATAACTTTTTCCAATACCACTTGCAAACGTGAATGTTGGTTACTAATTTCAAAACCTATGAATTTTTATGACACCTTTTTCTTAAAGGTTGATCTTATATAACTTCCTTGGAACTAAAAAGAATTATTTTAACTAAAAAGCAGGAAATCAGCTGATTTTATTTAAAAATCATAAATTAGCAACTGTGGCATATTTTTATTATTTTTAAAAACAAACTTTACACACACATCCACTTAGCAAAAATTGTGCAGGAAACTCATGTTTTTGGACTCAAAAGCTGAAATATGTTCCTTCAGCCAGGAATGCATTTTTAAAAGAACTTGAAAACATTTTTCATAAAGATACTAATTTCTCTCTCTGCTACTTTCTATTAGGAAGACTCGGCATGTTAATATTTTGCTCTTTATGGGCTACATGACTAAAGATAATCTGGCCATTGTTACACAGTGGTGTGAAGGAAGCAGTCTGTATAAACACCTGCATGTTCAAGAGACCAAGTTCCAAATGTTCCAGCTCATTGATATTGCTCGGCAGACAGCACAGGGAATGGAGTGAGTAGGATAAACAATGCTGGCTATTTTCGTTCTTGGAATGGTGTTTCCCTTCTCTTCCCCAAACCCTAATATATGGACTTATTGTGCTAAAATAGTAACGGGTCAAAATAGTATAACAAGTAAAGATTTTGTGCAGCCTTAATTCAGCACTGTTGTATGCATTCTTACTTTCATTTAGTATTTGTTTTCCCATAGATTCTTGCCTTAGTTCATGTTAGACCACTAGTCACTTGGCAGTCAGCTTTTCTGTATTTTATCTTCTTTTGTAGCTTGAGGTCTTACTGTAGTGCACTAGATGAGATCCTATTCTAAACATAGAATTAACTTTTTTTTCCCCTTCCCTGTGTTACTTACTATAGCATTGCAGTGTTTGGCAAAGACTCATTTATACTCGTGGTACTCCTGTGAGATGAGGGGATAGCTGTTCCTATTCTACAGCTACAGGACTCACACACACAGATGTGTTTTGGAAGCATTCTCCAGATGTTTGAGTTGATATAGTAACCATCTCACTTCTCTTTCAGAACGTTATAGTGTTCGTAGCATAGAAGATGCTGACATTGGCTGATGCTGTCAGTGCTCATCCATTTTGTAGGTCAGGACCCAGGTTTCCAATCAGACACCGAGAAAACCAGGACATGTACTATGACTGCAAATTAAAGCAGTTTGTAAAAAGTAAACCTTAGCATAGCATACAAATTTTGTGCATATGAGGACAGCACGAAGTTTTCTAGGGTTCTCTTTCTCTTCCTGAGATTTAGTTACTGCATTGCTTCCACCTTCTGTAACGCATAAGGCAGTAGTCATCAGCTAGTGCTTGCTAGGTTTCTTTTCCCAAAGAAGACGCATCCTGTAAATTGACTAAAGCAAGAGGTCTGTGAAATGGTTGAGTATGTAATAAACTGTCACAGTGTCTATCAGTAAATTGAAAGGCTAAGTTTATGTGAATAGCCTTCATAATGGCACTTTTCTGCTTTTACTTTCACAGCTATTTACATGCAAAGAATATCATCCACAGAGACATGAAATCCAACAGTATCCTTTCCTAACTTAATCATATTTCCTTTCATGTGAGAGTGATTTGTTGTTAATATGGAGCTTTTTGGGGGGTTGAAATAGCTGTTTCAAATGTATATAACTACTAATAGGTAATTCCTAGTAAATTCATAGAACATACACGCTTCCTTACCAAACTGTTGTGATAAAGATGAAAAAAAGTTGTGCAACAGATGTGCTCCAAAAGTGTCTTTATTTTACATAAATGATGTTTATGCACTTCTCTGTTATCCACATGCTGTACTGGATAGAAGTTGCGCCCTTTACTTGACAAGGAGATACGTGTGCGTGTGCACGCTGATGTATGTGTGCACATGTGGGTTTTGTTAACTGTTTCCCATGTATTTTTAATAAATTTAAAACACCATCACATGACTGGCAGAAATGAAGCCAAAAATCTTACTTTAAACTCAAGAAAAGGCAACCTTTTCCCACTATATTTCTTGCAAAAATGTAAGTTTAGTAATGCATATGGAGTAAAAACGTTGTGAACTGATGTCTTTTGCCTTTGAAAATGCTTGCTTTTGAAATTGCCAAGAAGAGCATCCATTGAGCTAGCTGCATAAATTGTAACTTCCTTTCATAAAATGTGAACAAAATGTTTTGCAAATATCATTAAAAAATACAGCAAATTCAGTAGTTCCATAGTCTAAGGGGATTCCCATTTTCAGTTGAGCTAAAAAAATAATCATTTTAGTATATAGGAGGTCAGGAGTTTGTGATTCGTCGTAATGATGACCATTTTTGTGAAATAAATTAATTCTTCTCCCGACATGGAAATGAGAACTAGGAGTCTGTCATGTTTATATTTCTGAATCATCTTTTTGAACTTAAAACATTCTTAAATGAAATTATAAAATGATATTTTCTTAAAATAACCCCAACAAAGAAAGTACTAGCTATCAATCTTAACAGACAAATCTATTAAGTAGATAGATTACAAATAGTACAGATGTGCCTATTTCCAGTTGAAGTAGTTAAATCATAGTTAAATCTCGGGAGATCTGCCAGAGCTTTATGTAAATGGATTTTATTTTGATAGTTGTTTCTATTTGCAATTGTTTTTTCTTAGTTTTCTTTTTTGAGTTGTGACTTCTCCCATGTGGTTAGCGATAGGACGAGAGGAAATGGGCTCAAGCTGCGCCAGGGGAGATTTAGGTTGGATATTAGGAAAAATTTCTTCACGGAAAGGGTAGTCAAGCATTGGAACAGGCTGCCCAGAGAGGTGGTGGAGTCACCATCCCTGGCAGTGTTCAGAAAACGGGTGGATGTGGCACTTCAGGACATGGTTTAGTCTAGTCTACCCTTGATTGGTTTAGTGTGGACTTGGTAGTGTAGGTTAATGGTTGGACTGGATGATCTTAAAGGTCTTTTCCAACCTAAACGATTCTATGATTCTATGACTTCTATATCCTTTCCCAATGTGTCTCTTGACACCAGCTATTTAAGAACCTGCAGTCATTGACGTTAATTAAGACAGTCGATTTCTATCCTAACTCATCATAAAGATAAATGTACAAATAATGCTGGAACATCTGGTCTTGTTTAGTCTTAAATGTTAACTCTGCAAATATGGATGCCATAAAATTACTTTTCCTCTGTTTAAGATACAACTCATAGCATGTTTAGAAAAAAAATCAGCAATATTCTTGGATAGTTGGCTTGCATTTGTGTAGCCTAACCAGGCACTTTATAATCATGTCAGAAAATTCAGAATTGTTTACTCAAGTTTTCTACAGAATTTCTTTAACAAATGTTTAGACATATTTCTTCATGAAGGCCTCACAGTGAAAATCGGAGACTTTGGTCTGGCAACTGTAAAATCCAGGTGGAGTGGATCTCAGCAGGTGGAACAGCCCACTGGTTCGATCTTGTGGATGGTGAGCAAAACATTTCACTGTTTTTAAATAGCTGGCTTTCATTCTGTTAATATATGTTTTGCCAGTTGAACAGTATTTTAAAGCTTTAAATCTAAATGAATCAGCATATGCTGTTAGTACTGTGTAGACTTTTATTCCACTTGTAGGACAAGTTAAAATTGAAGAATGAAGTGCTGCAGTGCTTACCTGTCCAAAGTAGACACCATTCGCCTAAGGATTCTCCTGTTATTTTTTGGAGTTATTTTAAATATTTAGGGCAGAGACAGGTCTGTCAGTGGAACTACAAGGAGCTGTTCCAAGCGAAGAGGAGAGCCTTTCTCCTGCTGTAATCCTGCCTTTCCCCAAATGGGCTTGTCCCACCGGAGAGCAGGCTTTGATCTGCTCTAGTTGTGGCTTTGTGGGATCAGTGAGACCCTGTCTTTCTCTATGCCCTTCATTGCAGCCTCTTCTTCCCCTGCTCCTTGCTTGGGACTTGGCAACATCCCTTTTCACGCACACTTGCTGATGGCACATTGAGCAGCTTTGGCAGGGGATTAGGGAAAGGATAGGGAGTGCTTCTTGAAGTATGGGAATGAGCGCAGGTTCATCTTTGGTACTGTGGTAGGCCATTTGATACACACCAAGATACTGCTGTTAGGCCCACTACTGCTCCTCGCCCCGCACCAGATAGTTGCAGGAGGTTTTGAGGCAGTTAAATCGTAGCAGATGAATGTCAGTTTAGGTACAGGCGTTCTTAAGTTCTACTGGAAAGTTTACGGAGCTTCTTTTGGAAGTGGTAGTGCAGTCCTTGTCTGACAGGACATTCCCAACAATTGCCTTTATGTTTAACTTCTGCCGGAACTTAAAAAGGCAGTTCCACAATTTTCCTTCCAAAAAATCACTTGGAGAAAATCTATTTAGTAATTTTTCAAACGTGCAACTTCAATAGAGTAAATAGAAAAGTGGAACCGTGCCTGTTACCTGTTAACCTGTTACCAGGTTAAAAAGCATCGTTAAAATTATGCAAGAATATCTTATTCAGCACTCAAATAAAATATTTTATTAAAGTTTCACTTAGCCCATTTTTGTTAATACTATGCAGTTTACTTAAATTCAGCACGTAGACTGATCACCAGTATTTTCCATCTCCCAGGGTAGGGCACGCAGCAACATTTATGGCATGTACTTCAGGGAAGCGTAATGAAATAAAAATGAGTTGCTGAATGCTACATATTAGTACATTTTAAATCTTTTGATACTTAGTACTGAATGAGCTGCATATATTACTTGAAACAGGTTTTCCTTTTAGAAAATTACTCTTTATTACTAGGCTTGCGGTCTTCATTGTTACTTAAGTATTTGTATTTTGAGAAAAGTTGGGAAGTGTTCATTAAGAAATATCAGGATACTTGGCCAACATTTGTTTGCGACATACAAAATACACAAATCACTTGAAACAAAGTTATAAAACCAGAAACAGTTTCTTCTTTAAAAAAAAAATACAAAAACCCAAAGCTTTTTACAGCTTTCCATAAAAGGTTTTAAAACTAACTTACCTAATAGTATGCCTATATACATGAAACAGATCTTAGAAAAAAACCCTGCATTTTTGCTTTTTGCAGTTTTTTTCATTTTAAAAATTTATAGACCATCTTTGCTGAGTTGTCATTATGTAGAAGGGGAGGTTGATTCTGTTTTCTTGAAAGCTGATATAATCTCTTACTGAATTTTTGTTGTTGTACTGCTGTACTTTAACTAGTACTTTGTTCAGTAATCCTGAGGGACTTTTTTTAGGGGAAAAAAATCTTAGTCAACAGGAAAGATACTTTGATGGTTTATATCTTGTTTTATTAAATAATTTAACGTTGTTTCTTTTAAGTTCTTCAGCTTCATAATTTTGTTTTGTTTTGCAAAGATTCAAGAATGCTCTTGTATTATTTCTTCCCCAGTCTTCAATATATGCTATTTCATATTTAGCTTTCACATTTCATGTAAATACTTTGGTATCAATTTTACAAGAGAGTAAGTCTGTATTAGAATTTTATATTTTTCCATTTTTAACATCGATACCTGTTTAAGAACTCGTGGTGAGAGACTCCGACTCAGTTGTATGTAAGATGTAACAAAAGTCAATATACATTGCAAATTGGAATAATGATAATTTCTGTAGTGGTAAAATGCTTGTTGAATTAAAGCATTGCTTTTTTTGTTTACTCATGATTTTATTTATTTTTTTAATAAGATGTAGAGTAGCACTGCCTGAACTTTTCCAGAGCATTAGGTAAAACTCATCAAAGGTTTTGAGGTATCCTTTGTTCACCAGTTTTTAGTTGAGCTCACTCTCTGCTTTCCAAACATCTTCCCCATTTCTTGTCCTTTCCGTTTCTAAGTTCTATTAATATTGCTCATAATTTGTTTCTTTTTTCCTTCTTCGACAGGCACCAGAAGTGATACGGATGCAGGACAGTAACCCATTCAGTTTTCAGTCAGATGTCTACTCCTATGGAATAGTATTATATGAACTAATGACAGGAGAGTTGCCATACTCCCACATAAACAACCGAGATCAGGTATGAAACATTCTTTAGAATACTGCATTTTATTTCTGGGCATAGTACATTTTGTTGTCCTCAAGAAATGTAAGGTAAAGACAAATGCAAAACAAGAATTGAAATGTTGTTTACAACATAATTTGTTTCAGCAGTATGTATGTGTAATTGAATGTTTACTTAAATACTGACAGTGACAGTTACTCAAAGGAAAAAAAAATCCTTTTTAATAAAATATTTTAAGTGCCCTGTTAATTCATTCATGGGTTAGTTAAAGCTTTTGCTACATCAGTAAAATCTTGGTTTATGTATTTGCGGTTATGTGAAATTTCCCTTTTGATGTTAAATGTTCTATTCTTGTATCAGCAAGATTGGATTCTGTGCTTCTTACTAAGTGAAAAAAAATAGCGGTTATTGTCAAACCTTTTAGTATTGAATGTTAGTTTGTGTGATTTAGTCTTTACTAAGTTGTAACCTTACCAAGTCAGTTAACCAATAATTACAAAGCAGCACATCAAGGACAGAAACCTCCACTGTTCTCTTTCCATGAATGCTTTTTCTGGCTTAGAAAGTGTAGAGCTAACTCATTCTGTAGGGCATGAACTTAAGACTGTTAGATCCCTTTGATCTCTGTTTTGCTGATCCTCAGTTGTGGTTTGTGGGTTTTGTTGTTTTTTTTAAATTAAGATCTAATAATGAGCAGTGTGTGTGTGTATGGGGACAAACTGTTACATTTTAGCCCCTATTATGTTACATAGTAAGTATTCCAAGTAGAAGAGGCCAGTTCTGTTAAGTTTTTTCTTATTTTTAAGGTTGTCTACAAATTTGGATATTGGAATCTGTTTTAATTCATAATATTGAAATTATATGCAAGCTTAATAATGATTACTGTCATAAAACATGTGACACTTGCCCCTCAAGTAAGTTTTCAGAGGAGGGATAGAATATTTCCTGGATTCCTGGAGAACACCACCGAGACCTTATTTTAGCAACGTTATATTGACCTTTCCACCACCCCACCCCCCCCCAGACAGCATTAGTTGAAAAAGAAACAATAGCACAGTTAGTTCTGTTTACCCCTCTTCCCCCCTAGTAAAACCTTCAAACAAACTCACTCCCCTCAAGCAACCAAGCCTACCAGCATTTTAGCAGATAATAATCCTATCAATACTAAATAGTCAACTCTAATGGCTACTTGAAGTCTCTTAAAAAATCCTGAAGAATGACCATACTAACTTGGACTAAAACAGAAAATGTATTTTCCAACACTAATTACGTCTTTTACTGTTTGTCTTGAAACAAACCAAAACAAACCCCTTTTCCTTTTTTACTGCATTAGTTATGATGATCTCTTTCAACATGCTAGCTGTACATCTCCTTTTGCAACGTGTTTTACAGAGATACCTACTGTATTAAGTGGTTGTGCTAAATTGGCTGGCTGCTTATAACTGCTCAAATTGAGGATGATTTGTCATTGCAGCCTTCAATTGAAGGAAATTGCCATGTCATGTCCATGTCACATAGTATCTCCTGTTCCATTCTGAATGCAATAGTGCCTTCACTTGTTGAGCATTACAAACCACAGTGTCACTCTGATTTAATCATGTCCTCCATTAAACAAAAGCAGGACTGTTGTTTCAGTTAACTAGTTTGGACAAATCTACAAGTATGTGCTGGTGTGTGTGCCTTTGGTACTCATGTTTAATCACTGTGGGACACTAAAGCTATCAACTAGTGAAACAACTTCTACAACTTTGGTTTTCTGCTACTTGCTGCTTCCTTTTCAGATTATTTTCATGGTTGGCCGAGGGTATGCTTCTCCAGACCTCAGTAAATTGTACAAGAACTGCCCCAAAGCAATGAAGAGGCTTGTAGCAGACTGTTTGAAGAAAGTTAGGGAAGAACGACCTCTGTTTCCACAAGTAAGTGTGTTTTCTGCATATAACAGTTTCAAAGTATTTTATAAATAGCCATTAGCACACAAAACATTCTACAGGCATACAAGCTTTGGTTGAGAAACTGAAGGTAGACATAGGAATAAAGTGCAGCCTGCTTCCTATTTTTGTCTTTATTCATATGTGCATCTTTCATAACCCAGCTCCCTTAGGCAGTTCGTAATCCTGATTGTACATAGTTCCTGTAAAGGTCATTAAAAATACTACGCATGCAGACTGAAGCAGTGTTAGGCTAACACTACAGCAGTTTGCTTTTCAACAGCTGACCCATTTTTGAGAGAAGCAAAAAAAACCCCAAAACCCACACCACCCTAACCCAATAAAAATCCAGTCTGTCTTTGTATTTACATTTTATTTTAGCGTAGGTTTGAGGGAAATGAGAGACCGTTCCTCCTTTCTTTCCACACAACTATGAACAAGCAAACAAAATCCACTGGGGATTTAAATTCATACCAGCAATTTTTGGTATTTTTACAAAGAATACTTTACCTTTTCCTGTCACTATGAGGATGATAAAGGTACTTTCTTATACTCATTAAATAGCTGGAATTAAGTATCAGCAGTTTTTGGAAAAATAACTTCCTGCTGTTACAATCAAGTTTAACTTCTGTTGTTTAAAAAGTTCTTTCTAAATGTTGTTTTCTAAACAGACTGTTAGGCAGATGATGTTACTCTGTTGGAGAATTGCCTAGATGCTTGTTAATTGATCATAATTTCTGTGAACTAATGAAAAGTACCCTCCCATCCTCTGAAACTCAGACTCCTCATAGCAATGAAACTGTGTGGCATATTCCTAGAGTGTTGTTTTCAGTGTCTCCACATACTGTATTGTTCCTCTTAAGGATATGCTTAAAGCCATAATAAATGTTTAAGACTTAAAAAGACAAGCAGCTCTAACAAGCCTTCTTTTCATTTTATGTGTGTTTCCCTCAGATACTGTCATCCATTGAATTGTTGCAACATTCTCTACCCAAAATCAACCGGAGTGCTTCTGAACCATCTCTGCATCGTGCCGCCCACACAGAGGACATAAATTCATGCACATTAACATCCACAAGACTACCCGTATTTTAGGATCGTGCTCCCCTTCCCTGGTTCTCTCCAGTGATAGGAAAGGAACAGAAGTAATAGAAATTGTGCTTTTAATGCCTCAGTGTACAGCATCAGTGCCAGCAGGATTATCTGCATCCCAGTTTTAAGAACAAGCTGCTAAGGATTTCTGCAGTTCTTATCCTGCAGGGACACAGCTCCACATTGCCTTTTTCTACAGTTTCTTTTACTGGGATAGTTAACAGACTGTAAATCAAGAGATCTATTACTATTTTTTTAATAGATGCACTTGAGCCTTATTTTTCCCATACACAGAAGCGATGGATGTTTCTTTGGCAGTGTTTCTGGATTGATTTGAATCTGTTGATAAATCGGTATTTTTTACAGCCAGGGTGGCTTGCCTCGGCGTTTGAGGAAAGATGATGCATTATGGTGCTCCTTGATTGCCCCATGCCATACGCCACTTCAAGTTGGGGGAGTTTTGCCTGAAATGGGTATCTGCAAACAAGACTGAGGGAAAAGGAAGAAACTTTCTGGAAATCAGCTCCTGCCTAAGAGCTTTCATCAAGCCAATGAAATAAGTGAAAATGCTAATTCAACACAAAATAGTTTTGCAATAGTTTTGCACATAGAAGAAAAACTCTTGCAAAAGAATGGAATATATTCTGAACTGTACTGCTCAGAGAAGGAAGCTAGCCAGTCTTGCTATGGTCATCTTCAGTAACTTAAGCAGCTTACTTTGGTACTATTGACTTGTTTCTTGCAGCCCAGTGAGGTGGTAAGTGTGGAAAGACAGGCTTTTGTGGCTGAGAAAAGGCTAATTAACAGTATCCGTATACTTCTGCAAAATGAGCATAGTCTTCATCCCATCTGAAGCTGTCGTCCAAGAGATGCACTATCAAGAGGAAACTGAGCATATACAGTTTTTCTTGCTGATTTGGGTTTTAATTTTGTTTTTATTGCTCCTGAGAAAATGCATTTATTGTAAGCCAAGGTTCCTCTGATTATCTTATTTTAATAAAATAAATTAAATTTTAGGTTTAAGATTCAATGTCATCATTTAATGTAGTAATCCATAGTTCTGACATATACATCTAGAATTGAAAAACTCAAGAAAATGACATTCTGAATAATTTTTTAAAAGTATAGGTAGTAGCAGTTCAAGTAAAAACACAGTTGATATGACAACCTATAGTCCAATCACATTCTTTAGTAGGTGTTTTTTATTCTACTGTAATCTTTCAGCAACGTCTACTTATTAAGATACCTACACTGAGGTACTATCAAGCTATTTAACTGCACCATTTTTCCTCTGCATTTTATTTTCTGTGAACCTGTTTCTACTTAAATAGAAGTGAGTGTTGTCTTGGCTAAACTCCACAGATGACAAAAAATAGGCGGTTTAATCTAAGAATTTATTTTTTAAAGAGCATACTGTTTAAATATGTTCATTAGGGAAATAATGGAAGCCAAGTTTCCATTCTTGGAATGGAAGCTTGGGATTTTGTGTGTTTCTCTGTGCATCCAGGTAAGTATGGGGCTCCTATATGAACACATTGCTGAGGTCTAGTGAGTGAAGAGACAAGATGTCTGTAACCACTGTTATCTCAATCTAAACTGCTGCCTAAAATTAGTTAGGCAAAATACTTTTGCTGTGAATTTTGACAGCTTACATGTGCAACTCTTAACTGCCTGCGATGTCCAAATAGCTATTTTGGCTTCTTATTTGCAGCAAGCAAAAAACCCACAAAGTGCTTATGAAAGGGCAGAGAGGAACTTGAAATACATAAGCCAGACACATACTTAAAAAAATAGTATCTAGACTGTTTGTCCTCAGAATATGATTAACAGTACAAGAAGGGTGGAATATTAGTCCTTAGGTGATAATTGAGCATGACCCTAAAATCTGCTTGCTAAAAAGTAAATTGAGGGTTGATGGAAACTGTTCCATATAAGTTCTGCATGATTTTTAATAATACTTGGTATTTTAACCGCAGCCCTCTCTAAACATGATTTATCTTCATTTTAATACAAAAGAATTTAAGAAGGGGGAAGAAAACCGGGGAAATGGTAAGCTGGTCTTACTTTAGCTCTAATTTCCAAAAAGAAACCATTAACTCCTAATTTTTAAAACAGGTTGTGTCTCTTGAAAAATTAAAATATTTTTTTATAAATAGGTTTATTTTGATGAGCACTTGATGTCAAATGAGATGAAAGCTGCTAAGTGAAAAATTGAAAATGTCTGAGTTTCTAACTCTTACTGCTCTTACATTAAAACTTCTTTTTATGTTGTCCCTAGGTAGCTTTGAAAAACAAGTTATCTTTTTAATTTCAGACTACTGTTACGTGGTTTATGTCATCTTGGGGCAAAGTAAATCGGGAATGTCTTAAGGTAAAGATCATTCTCTCCATTGACTTTTTTTTTTTGTATATTTTATTACTGAAAATATTTCTCTCTGGGCAAAAAAATATGTGCAAGATGCGCTAGAAACAAGCTTCAGCAGGGAGGCTAAGGGGTGTAAGTATTTTGGGTTAGAAACTATGTCTGGGCAAGTGCTCTTGAACATTCATCTTACAGTACTACATCTCTCTTAGTGATACTTTATTTTCTTTCACCTTTGTAAATAGTGATGAATATGACACTGATGTGACTTAACTAGAGTAAGACATTCACTGGTGCCTTCATATGCCAGTTTTAAAACAAAGCTGACGAGTAAGTGGTTATAGATACCGACAAGCTAAGGCCTGACTTTGCAGTAAGCATTGTTAAAAATTAACTTTAGAGTAGAAATAATTGTGGAAAAGTTACATTTTCTAGGTCAGAACAGAGCGCAAAATTTGCATGTTCAATTTGAGGAACTGTTACAGGTCAGCAGAGATGGGGGAATTCTCCTTGTTCTGTCGGAACCCTTATAGAAATGCAGTATTTTCATCCAGGACGTTTCTTACCTTCAGTTTTGACCCAGAAATGCCAACCAACAGATGACGCAGATAATCCTGGAGTCACTACTTTGGTGCTGGTTAAAAATGTTTGAATCCCAGATTAAGGTTCCTGCTGTTTCCTTCATGACAGTGACCCAGATCCTACTTTTTAACCATCAAAGCAGTGCCCTATTTGCCATGCTGACGTAAGGTTTTTTGCACGTGTCTCTGAATATACTTTGCTTCACAATACAAATAATTTTGGTCATCTCAACAATCACGCTTTCTGAAATGCTTGAACCCTTAAGCAGATAAGCAACCTTTCAATGGTATGCAGTCTTAACCTCAAGCTATCGGTTAGATTGGCCCTCTGCTTATTTTAAGATTGTATGTGGAATGTGCTTGAGAAAACTCTGCTTGTACTCCAGTGTTTTAATGCTGTATTACTCAGTAGCCATTTCAGTTGTATGCAGACTGAATTTTTGGTTTAACTGCAAAGTTAATACAAACAGCTTAGCAGAATTCACTTCTTGTATCAAATTTCACAATCAAATTGCTTTTGCTCAAAGCTTTGGCAACATCAATTAAATTTTTAACAAAAATAAAATTCAGTAACAAGTCTGTTAACTCAGAAGAGATGTGCCTTAATACCTCACACCTCCTGGGCCTTTAACATTGCTGTCCTAAATCTGCCTTAAAAGGCAAATGGGCTGCTGGAGGCAGAGCCCTCCCAAAGAAGGCTACAGGTGAAGGAGCCAGCTGTCAGTCCTGGGGCTGGGCTGTCAGGGAGTACTCTGGAGCCTGCCTTGGCCAAAGGCTGCAGCGTGGCCACCTTCAACCTCACTTACCGGACGGTGTTTGAACTCCTGCCTGTGCTTTCAGTAACACTATCTGCCAGCTGCAACTGGGGTGGGAGGTGCCTGGAAATGGAGCTGAGCTAAGACTGTATTACAGCTTCAGGAAGGTATCTCTCACTATGCTGGAGGTACATGGAGATGGAAGAGCCTTAAGGATCAGCCACACAGTTAAGAAAAGCAGCAGTTAAAACTAATTGTTTCTTTTGTCACTGAAATTATTTATGTTGTAGAGTTGCAAACTGTAAGATCACTGACATAAGGAGATCAGAAAATTACTTAGTTACTGCACTGAATTTTGGCTACTTCATTTATCCTGAATCAAGGTGTCTCTTCCCATTAGATAATTTGAACTAATTCAGCTGAAGAAAAATGTAACTATTCCTGTTGCACTGACTATTGAAAGTAACTACGTACTCTCATTATACAGTTTCCAAAATCCACTTTGTGTTGTAAGTTTAATTTAGCTGTATGTTGTGACTCTAGTATTGCTCTGCCTGAATATATTAATCAGTACAGTTGTATTTGCTTTACAACAGGTGCTCTAAGGGACACCTCCTGCTGCTATATGCTTTAATGATTTTAAAACAAGGCTAGGAACTTGACTTGCACAGCCTTTGAGAGCCAGGCAGTGTCCAGGCCCCACTACTGAGACACTCACTGTAAGAATACAGTAAACTTGATTCTGAACTCTAGGTACTACTCTGAGGTATAGCGTATTAGTTCTTAAACCTCCTTTTCAAGGAAGAAAAAGCTACACTGACCATTATTTGCATTTAGTTGATTTAGCGGGGGGGGGGGGGAGCACCCAAAATAGATTTCGGAAGTTTTTAACAGCTTAAGCTTTAAAGTGTAGGAGAGGAGCTGTATTTACACTACGACTCAGCTCACAAGACAGCATATATTAGGCCAAAGAGGGAGAAAATCCTCTTGGGATTAAGGGATTTTTTTTCCATGCAATCAATTTAACTTTTTAAATATATTTTAGTATTTTTGTTGCCATACAAAAACTATCTGAAAACTTTACCAGGACTGCACAAGTAAACCACAGGGCACATTCATTCTAACAGTGCTGTAGAAAGTTAAAGCATCGCTAAATAAATAGCTAGATTGCTATAGAAGACAGCACCTTTAATTCTCTTTATTGAGAAGTAGCAGAATCCTCATCAGCCCCGGAAAGGTGCATGAAAAGTTCTCCAAGTTCTGTTACTTCATCGTCTGTGCTGGCCACAGTCCTACTTTCTCTGTCTTCAATAAAGTCCCACAGACGAACAGAATTGAAGAACTGGAATAGAAGAAAATCTGACTGAGATTGAACCAGTACTTGTCACAGTTCCATGAAAATATTTTCCATTATCAGTCTTATTTCTTCATTAAACAAAAAGTCAGAAGTTGAGATTCAAAAGCTGGGTTTGTGCTAGCATTTACTACCACTCTCAGCAACACTTGTTAAATTCAAAGTGACAACTTCTCCCTTTAGTGTTACAGTATGAATATAAGTGTTACAGTATGAATATAGTGAGGTCAAACTGCCCAGTGTTGACAACCTGTATCTACATTAAAGCAGTAGGCCTGCCTTGACCATTCAGGGTGGTGGCCAAGCCATAATGCATTTTTGATAAAGCTTTACCCACTCTAGCTGGTCTTATTGCCAGCTATATGCAGGCAAGTGAGATGAGTTTTTAATACTGCAGGTGAAAGCTTTAACGGCAGAATTCCTTTGAAGAAAGGTTTGCCATGAGAAGGCTTGGTTGAAAAAATAAATGATAATAAGTTTTTGCTATTAAATGAAAAGTGCCTTCTCCTTTCCCTAACAACAAACCTGTGCCTCAAGGAAAATGGAGGCATGCTTTCTTCACTTCTCCAAGGCCATGCATTGTATCAAACATTTAAGTAGTACACTTTACATTCAAAATGTGTTTTTAATTACACTTGACTGGAGTATTCCCTTACCCGCACAGTCCCCTCAGAGCTGAGCTGTTTCCGTGGTTTTTCAGGTTCAGCTCGTGTCCCATCTGGATAAGCATGAAGGTAAAGACACTTTCCTCCAAACGGGCAAGTTCCTTTCCCTTGTTCAAAGTACTTGCAGGGTTTTTTCCTGATATAATTAGAAGAGAGAGAGTTACTGCCTTCAGCTAGTAGGAAATAGATACAGGTCACTCTCCATGCCTGCTTATCTCATTCTTAGTCACTGATGCAAAGTACTATTCCTGTTAACACACCAGGAGTTCTGGTCTCCCATTCCCTAACTGATAGTGGTCAAAATAGATGGGAAAGATTATTAGAAGTGAACAAAGAAATACATACAAGAACAGCATCAAAAGAATTAAACTATCTTAAGAGCCGGAAAGTGAGGGATGTTCAAAGAATGTCATCCATCCTTATTGTGGCTTAGCCCCAGCCAGCAACTAAGCACCACGCAGCC